GGGACTTGACAGTGGACACTGTTTGAAAGTGGCGGGCTTCCTTTAAACGTTGGGTCCCGCCACTATTGAGTCGCTGGTACCTAGTTCGACTCGCTGGTACATCGTTCGATTCGCTGGTGCAAAGTTCGATTCGCTGGTGCAACGCTCGGATCCAGCGCCGATGTCAAGCTTGCGAATCGAGCGATTCGCTAGCGAATAGGCCACATCGCATTCAAACGCCACTACGAATGTACAAATGGAAGTAGAATGCGTGCCGCATCCCAAAAAGGGATTGATCAACGGCAAATGCTTTATCTTCATCCTTTATTAAACGTCATTGGGCAGAACGTCAATGAGGCGATCTCAATCACCTCACGCAGCGCGTCATGGGCCGTCATTGAGGGCCAATGACGTTATCAAGATCACATCATCTCCATCAGCCAATCGTAATTGCTGCCTTCAAGCTTCCGTTTGCGAAAATGACGGTGTGAAAACGCTTCCATGTGCAAGTTATAGCAGTACGGTATATTCTTTGAGTGGGCAAACAGCGGGAGAGTATTATGCCCACAAAGTTTTCTAAATACATTTTTCAAGATCCTAACTTTATTTGCTGATCACCGCTTTTCCTACAGAAATTCAAGACTATAAAATGTACATCATCATTGCTCTGCTGCTTCTTCTCATCCTGTTGCTGCTTGCATTGATATCATCCTTCTTAATTGCCAAGCAGATAAAAAAGAGGCATGAATATAACAAAGATGGCTTACCCGTATCCTCCGTATCGACTTGGAAAAGCCGTCTAAAGAGATTTTGGCAGGATGGGTGAAGGTGAGTCATTATCACAACAGTCAGTCTTTGTCACTGAGTGATATTTACAGGCACGAGTCGTGATCGGATTACTATGTTTTCTTGTTCGAGAATTAGACACGAAGCGCGAAAATTAACGTTAGTGGGGAAAGCAAAAACCACCATTGAAAACGCTGGAATTTCCCTGGAGCTCGGTCGTGGTACGACGGAGAGACGCAACGCTGCGAGGAGAGGGAAAAACGAGAGAGCACGTCGTACGCGATGGAGCGCTGACGCCACCTATGCTGCGATTGAAAGAATGGCAGCGGTCGCGGCGGTCACGCGAAGACATTGGGCCGTATGCTATCCTTCCCCGAAGCTAGGTGATCCAAAGTTTCCTTTAAATTTATTTGTTTTGAACGATATAGTTTCTTCATTTTCAGTGCATGTTTACTTTTACCTACATACATACATTAAATGTAGGCCCTTTATCAGGGCAATCCCAGTTGGGAAGACAGAGAAAATTTAAAGGAATTTTCGTCCCCCAACCCCTTCGGGGAGGATAGCATACGGCCCACTATCTCCCTTGTCGTGCACTTTAGAGTCGCGTCAGTACCACCACTCCTGTGATCAGGGGACCTGCTATAATTCAACGAGAGAATTCCTTTAGGCCAAGATCGACTCTCCATTAATCTCGGCATAGTATTGGTATTCAAGTTTGTTTTCTTATGCAGCCTCCGAGATTGATACAGACTTTTATTTTGACTGACGTTTCGGCTGAATCGCCTTCTTCGGAGCCTGTAAAGAAAGTCGAACATATTCGTGAAACCCAATCATTCAAATACCTTTTCAAATTACAAGAAAAAAGTTCTAGGGGCTGGAAAATCATTAGCGGTGTCGGCAAACCTGACCTTAAACGACGACGGAGCTGTAGGAGGCACCCTTAGCTGTAAGATTTTCGGCGGAGCTTTTATATGTGCCTGAGCTCTCCCAGGTCAGGCCAAAGGGCTAGAGGGGACCCCCAGGGTGAAAAGTGTTACTTGGGGCCAACAGAGGGTCGGGTCACTGCTGCCCTAGTTATTGATTTTTGGGGACTTTGAGAATTTTTAAACGTGAGCCCCTACCTCGGCGCCCCCGCGGGGGTATCGATTACGTAGATCAAAACCACATAAGGTCCGCAAATGGCGCGAGCTCTCTAGTGACCGCCACGCACTCTTCCTTCCTGTTGATCTTAGGATCCTTGGCTGCGATCCACATCGCTTCTAGGGTCCTGCGCGCCGAGATATCCTGTTCACGTGACAGGATCGTGACCTTGATTATCATCTCCGCGTTTCCATGGCAAAGTACCCTGTGGTCACCTAAAAGGAGTGGCAGTTCTTGACTTTTTCATCCCATCTATGTGCTCCTTGATCCTGACACGAGTGGTCTTCCTGTTTCCCCTACATATTCCTCCCCACACAGTTGGCATGTTATCAAATAAACGACTCCTGAGATCATGCAGTCTCCTTCCTTCCCAAAAGAACAAATCATGCAGGAGGGTGTTGGGCATCGTCGGTCGTAGAGTCGATTTCGAACCAACTGCTTTTTGAGGTTGGGGAGGAATCTCGACAATTCTCACGGTGTCCTGGAGATCTGCTTTCGAAGACAGCTGCGAATAGCAGCGCTCATTTCGTCTGAAACGAAGGGTATACAGAAAGGTATTTTAGCTCGTTCTTCCTCTTGTCCCCGTGCAATTCCAGTACGTTGCCCATGCCGATGCCGTGTAGGTTGGCCACAATGAGTGTAGCCGTTTTCTTGCGCAATACGATGAGCCAGTGATATCGACTCTGACCTGTATGCGCCATCAGACGAAACTGCAGAGGCAGTTTTAAACATATTTTGGATGATGGCCTTTTTGGTATTAGATGGGTGCGCTGAGCGACAGTGGACAAGGATGTTTTTGCTACTAGGTTTTCGGAACCACCTAGTTTTTTGTATACCCTGCGAGAATTGTATTTGGACATTGAGGAAGGGCAGCCAATTCTCTGTCGGTTTTTCACGAGTAAACTTGATATGTTGTGACTGTTGGTTTAAAAGGTCGAAGCAAGTATCCATCTCAAGTTGAGTGGAACATACAATGAAACAGTCATCGATGTACCGACAGTAGAGAATTGGCTTTCGTTCCAGGACGGGCTGTTCAACCTTTGACATGAACGCTATTGCTAACGCAGGTGCCAGTCTTTGTCCCATAGCTAGTCCTCTCACTTGCTTATAAAATTCACCGGACCACATGAATACGGTGCATTTTAAGCACTCGTTGAGTAGTGCCATTATTTGCGTGATTGTGAGGCCATAGAAATTTAGACTAGCATGGTGTTCAGTTAAAACCTCCAGTACTGCCTGCATCGCACTTTCCCTGGACACGTTTGTGTACAACGATGTCACATCAAATGATTCCATCACATTTCCGGCGTCGAACCTGGCTTCCCTGAGCATTTGAAGGAAAGCATGAGTATTTGGCAGATGTGCGGGAACAAACCGAAGTACCTGTACCAGGATAAGGTTTAGAAACCAAGAAATCCTATCCGTAGGACCGCCGACGCAACTTATGATGGGTCTAACCTTGAACCCACTGGGGTCCTCGATATGTACGCCATCCTGAGGAAGTTTATGGGTCTTTATTAGTAAATACATCACAGGACACGTAGGAAGATCGCATCTCAGCCTTGTGACCACGTTTTTGGGCAAGTTTGCGGATCGTGCGATGTGTGTCCAAACTTTGTTTAGACGCCGATACTGCCTAGTAAAGTGAGGTCCGATCCACGGAAGTATGTACATGTGGTTGTGGCATCTCCTAGAACTGCATACCTCAACACTTGGATAGCTCCTCAGAAAAATGAAAGTTTCTTGACATATCCTCAAAATTTTCTTCCAGGAAATCACTAACAAGAACCCATTGATTTGGCGCTGTATGGATAGGCAAGTCATTTGGTCATATCAGAAAGGAGACGGGACACGTAAGTGTTCAGTGCACTATTCTTGAAACTGATTTTTGATATCAAGTGCAAATAGCATACAAATCGCTTTCAACCCATGCCCATGCAGCCAATGCTTGGCTATGATGGCTTGTAAGAAGATCCCTCGCTCCCTGAGATATAACCGATTCGAGAAATTTAAGCCAGTTGCAAAACGTAGGCACTGATTGTAGCTGGCAAGTCGTATTGCTGCCCATTGAATGCCTAAACGACAGTGGATTCGTTCACCACTCCGCATGTAAAGGCTATCATAATCAGTACTTGAGCTGCGCTACCAAAAGCTGAGCTGACTCGGTGTGATCGTAACCGCAGTGTCATCTGTAAGCCTTCGGAGTATGAATGCAACCGGTCTTGTAATGAAGCTAGCGCGGAACTTACCACTCCTTTCATTAAGAGCACATTTAGCACTAACCTCAATCAGGCTCCCAGATGATGGATTGTGATAGGGGTCGATCACTGATGAAGCGAGTACAAGCGAAATTTCCAAGAACCTTCAGAAGCACATTTTATTGTGATGGCGGAAAATGTGTCCCTCCCCGCTGTTTTCTTACCAGTCCTCGCTGAAAGTATTACAAGCGTAATCTTTCAATCTTCCAACCTTATTGGTCAGTCGATATCCACGTCTTCGTTCACTTGCGCACGAAATATTCCATCCCGGGTAAGTGCGAAATGTCTTTTTAAAGGTAGCATAGTTCTAAACGAAAGACAGCACGCAAAACTCCACAAAAATCGTGACCCACAGTAAGCAGTTAGTGTTTGCAAGTGTGGAGCCAAAGAAAGCGGTCGCGATAAATCTCACGGGACCAATTAGAAGCTTACATAATGGGTAAGCAAGTAGCTTTTAGAGACGGTGGCGCCTTAACAACGACGTGATGAAGTGCTGGAAATGAGCTCTTCGATCTTATGAAGCTCTTGCCCAATTACTGCCTCGGACGTGCAAAGGGTTGCAGCGGTTGCATAGCTGACGAGTAGAATTATCGTTATCGCTCGATGTTCAGTCCCATTGTGCCGCTGATGGTAGCCTTTCCTTGATGAGCGTTTAATTGAGGATTTCGTAATGCGCACTGACAGAGAAATACATACATAGTTATGGATGGCTTTACCCTGAAAAACCATGGGCTCAGTGGAGTACAGTTGAGAGGCTGATTTTAATAATGGTGACATTTAGATAAGGACATCGATGTTTTGGTTGCAAACAATGCTTCATTTCTCAAAGAACACATGCTTCCCCTTGCAGCCGTGAGTAGATCTTTGGCTTACATGCAATTTCACGCTAAATTACAAGCATAATCAGCTGGAGTATTGCTCCCTTTCTCCTGGTAGGTCACTTCTTTTTGAATGACAAGGAGGAGAACCATACCGACTACAGCATTGTATTTGCTCCTAAAGCCACATTCCACAATCGAGAGGTGCGGTCCTTTTTGCATGAAGAAAGATTGTATGGCTGCGAAGTGGACCGCCAGGAAAGAGACCAGCAAAGGAAAGCAACGCGAACAATGTGACGCGGAATGTGGTGTTCATCCGGGCACGTACTGACAGATGGTTTCTATCTCAGCCATGATCAATGCGGTTGCGTGAGCAGCCCTCGAAGCATGCCCATGTTTTGGACCCGCTCTAGTCGTCGTTTGCGGCCGTCTCTACACTAAAGTCGCGCTATAGCAGAAACTCATGAAGTGCCTCAGTGGGGCGCCGGTGACTGACGTCCAGAGATTCTTTCCACCCGTATGCCGGGAATGTGTTTCATGTCATGACTCCTTTTTTGGAACTGTTTCTTGCTTCATGTTAGTACTCGTGCATGGAACATCGAAATATGCTTCATTTTTCCTGTGCGGCCTTTTCAACGCCAAATACTACCGCTATACTGCAATACCCATACTACTATAACACTAAGGCTATAATACTACACGAAGTGTATGTATCTATTCTATTCTTCTTTCTTTCCATCTATTCTCTCACCCTTTGATTGACAGAAGTCTTTTAGCCACAAGGACCAAAAGCAACCCACATGGGTAAGTTTTTACCGAAAATCGGTTCCAAGAAGTGTAGCGCTGTAGCTTTTCTAACCTCTAGCATCATACGGTCACTCAGGAAAAACGAATCATAGTTTTGTGTTCCATGCAGGGGCCCGATATCAAGCGAGAAATCATTTTAAAAAGCAGTACACGACCTCACAGGCATTCCTGGTTTAACCCGTGAGAGTGGTTGGCTATTGGGCCTTTCACAAAGTCTTGAGGATGAAGTGGTTTAAATCTCATAATGCGAGCTCATCATGAGATTCAACGACTCACGACTAGAGTCAGATTGTGCATTGTAGATGAGAGGCCGCGCTTTGAGGATTCCACGATAAGGTCGAAGGTTGAAAATGGGAAACCTAGCCAGTGGAAGGACAGGCGGACCCTTTAAGGGTGCGAACTTGCACGCAATCTCGTAGCGAAGGATATGCTCAGCGATCTAGTATGGTCGTCCCCGTGGCACTTGTTACCCCTCCACTCTGCTCTCCTGGCTCGAGCCGCTTAACAGAACGAGCGTTGGCGTTGGAGAGGTTAGCATTGATGAGACACGCCTAAAGCAAATCCATGTACAGAGCACCATTTTCTCGGGTTTAAAGGCAAACCCCGGGATTAGCCCGTCTAGTAGGAGGGATACCACGAGGGAAATTGTAAGGTCCGTACCTACCTAGATCACTCCAGCTTCGTCGCAAAAATTGCGCGGTTAGGGCGCTAATCCTTACGGGCCTGCAACCATCGACCCCGTTCCAACGCTTCCCACCCACCGCGAGAGGTGGTGAGATCAGCGTGCTCTCTCGAACGACGTGCTCTCTCGCGTATTTTGTCTTCTTTGACCGCCCTGTCTCGCCATCGTACCACATCCGACCTATTGAAGGTTAAGGCCTTAATTTCAGCGTTCCCAAAGATTTCTCTTGCTTTCCTTTCCACTTTCAGGTCGTTCCGCAGCTAAGCTATCACTACAAAGCGCTGATAGCACCTGTTTAATCCCGGAGTTTGCCTTTAAGTTGTTTTCCTGGCTTCTTCTTCGTACCTGCATCACTGGCCATATCTATTGGGTTGTCTCATAATTCTGTCGCAATTTCGACACTTTTGTTTATTCAAGTTTTATCTCTTCTAGGAAACAACTGATCAATAGCATAACCACCATCATGGTCACTGATATGCGTGCATTTGCTAGTGGGCGTTTGGAAGCTTCCAGCCCAGAATGAAGGAAACTGGGGGTTGAAGAATTTGGAGAAGTCGTTTTTGGGGTGGTCGCAATCTTTAACTTTCTTCTCTGGCAGATGCTTATTCAAAGCGCAGGGGAGGCGATAGTCCGATAGAGCGATGCCAATGCTATATGGTGGATGAGGTATCGTGGCCCTGGCTATCTCCCTCAGAACGTGGTGAGTTGGCATTGCAATGTGAGGTCTGGCGTACATTCGGAGAAAGGAGGATCTGAGACGTTTCTGACGATTCCCTCGCAACCCCAAAGCCAGCCTAGAGGGCTATTCCGCGCTGACTTTAGCAATGCTTGTCTTCATACATTGAAGTGGTTCCCAAACCAGGCCACCTAGCGAATCCAACAAAACGAGAGCGATATTCTCAGAAAACGGAGTTCGGGCTTTGGTTGAGCTGGTGCTTCCTGGCTGCGAGGCAGCCATCAGACGTGCCGCATGTTGTTGTCGCAGTGGACTCATGACTCATTTCCACTGGTGACCGATTAGGGAAGGCTCTGCTTTTGCCGTCCCAGAATGGATTTTCCCCAGATGGTCAGGCGTGCTTCCCGCTCATGGTCGGCCGGACCATAAGGTTTCCATCAAAACTTCATTCTGCAGCAGTCCTTGCCATACTGATGGCGTTGCTGGTGCATCGGCTGCGCTCAGGTATCTGCTACAATACCCTGGTAGCAACGTGCGGAGGCACTCCCAATTTAGGGTGCAAGGGGCGCTCATCAAAAATGACCGCAGGCCCAGTGTGAGGTTGAAGTTCATGCTCGTTTCGTCTTTGCCGTTGCGATTGGACC